TAAATATGTCATACGACTTCTTAACTTTTGACACAGATAACCAGAATATATGAAATGAAACTAAACAAACATGATGCTACTGCAATAATGGTATGCATCTTTAAGTAAAATTCAATATTGATCATTTTTCATTGTTATTATAACAATGAAAACTTTGGGGTGCATCCTTTCTTCAGCTTCTGATGTAAGGCATGGCAGAAAAGAGGTGGACACGACTGGTTTAATGTGATTGCCACTTTGAAACTGTACTGCTGGGCCAGCAACAAACAAAGGGTGCTTAGTTTAATCATTCCACATGAATGATGATCCACAAACATAAAAGACAAGACCTGGATTGCTGGGTCTCTTGGTTTTTGTTCTGTGTGAACATATGCAGCATGGAAAGAGTTGGGAGGAGCTCTGCATATCAGTCCGGTCACCAACTAAATGACTCCATGGCTGAGAAATGCCGAATTACCAATTTTTTTAATTTTTTTTTTTTACTGCGCTTGCTCTTTTCAGGCTCTGTTAGGACAATCTACTGCACACATATGGTTTCCCTCCCTTTCAAACATACTTTTCCGATTACCAAATTGTTTCCAGGATCATGTTTCTGCACCCATTTCTTTCCATATGCATTTCACGCGCATTGCTTGTTATGCAACTAATATTTCTATCTCAAATTTTCACTTCTGCAGGGCAAACAAGCAAACAAAGCAGGGTCAAACAACACTCCTCAGGTTGAGTCACTCTCTGTATTTTGTCATACTGTTTCTCCTATTTCAATGTCTAAGTGCAACTAATATTAAGGCAGTCCTCTGAGAGCGTACAGTCAGTGCAGGATACCGTGGGAATGGCTCAAACAGAGAGCCAGGCAGGGAGGTCAAAGTTGATCTTAAAGACAGCCAAACAAAATAAGCCAGAGAAAAATGCACACAAGGAGTTTGATGTAGGGTTTCTTGAGTAAAGTACAAATGTTTTGGTCAATATGAACAATCATTCATGCAGATTGAAATGCAACTGTAATTGAACTGAATACAAAGGCACAAGTAAAAGCTGAGGAGATGGAATTTGGGTTTTTTGGAGTAACGAAAGCAAAGCAGGAAGGGCTAAAAGACAAAACTAGGGTCTTTTACAAAGCTCAAAAAGTAGCACGAACATTTGGACAGATCCAACTGGAGGGCCATGAAGAGGAGTTTAACCAAGTCACAATGAAGACACCACACTCCAAAAATCAACACACTGTATGATATCATAAAATGGTCTGATAGTATACAAAAAGGAATTTCTCCACCCTTCCAGCTTTCAAAAAGAGAAGTGAGTACTGAGAAAAGCCAACAAGAGGCAGGAGCAAAGTCCAAAGCTGCAGTTAACATGGCAGCAAAACAAAGACTTGGATTACAATACCTCAGAGTTTGAGTGAAGCCTCGTGAAAGGGTGGAGAGAAAGAGAGGTAGATTTTCTTGCAGCAACTCTGCTTAACTGTAAAGGAAATAAAGGTTGGGCGAATGGGCATATGTTGAGCAATAAAAACTGTAAAGATCATACCGTAATAGACAATATTGCAAATGTGCATGCAATTAACAAAGCCAGGTATGCACGCAGGAACAGGAACACACAGCAGTCACACTGTTATTTAGGCCCACAATAGTCTCTTTAATTCAGAACAGAGGACTCTAAATGATAGGTTTACTCCTGGCTACATCACAGAAACTGCAAACTACAACACAGATTTAAATGAATGCCAGTAGTGCACCTATTACTTCTTCATTGTTAAAGAAAGATTGGGAGATATAGAAAAAATGTTTGTTTATCATCTCTCACAGTATCTATGTCTGAATACTTAAAAAGCACTTTGAGTGGTCAAAGAAGTGCAATGTACTTTGAGGTCTATTTACTAAATTATTAAAAAGCTAGTATAAAAGCTTGATCTTAATTATGAATGGAGATAAGAAATTATGGTGAGGATTTTTAGATCCAACTTTTTTCTTCTTTTTTTTTAAACAGCACAGTAAATGGTAAACTTGCTCCGACTCATCCCAACCTTGTGCGATCAATTATCAGCTTCTCGACAAACAGACAACTGGTCTGACAACATAGCAGCGCTATCTGTGAGAACATTTTAAGCTCCAAACTGCAAACTGAAACACAGTTCAACCTTTTAATCTGAACGTATCTGCCAATTTGGGAAACGGAGACCGTTGAAAAAAAATCTGCCGTAACACAACACACAACAAAATGCTTATTCAGAGATTCGACGCTGTAATTACATCCGCAGGCTTTTCTGCTGAACACAGCTTACAGAAACAAAAAGAGCAGAGTCACAGAGCCCTTTAAAAACACCAACTTCTCTCTTTGCCGTCGGTTAGCTTAAACTCTAACAAGAGGCGGTCGACAAGTTGCCAAAGACCGAAGTTGAACTTTAACCAAGTTGAATAGAAATTACAAACAGGAGCAAATGAAAATAAACAGCAGCTAAACTCTCAAAAAAGAGTCCCCAAACGTATTCACTCACCTACTCAGAATCGTAACAAACCCGCTTATCTTTAGTAACCGACCGCTGTCAGTCAAAACACTCGGCACGCGAAACTAGACGGCGGGGACAAACCATTAAAGGATGCTGGGGTTCTACTTTAATATAAAAACTAGTAAAATTATAAAATATAAATTACTTCACTCGTCGAAAAACCAAGCTAATACCTTATTGTGTGATATGATTTCCAAACGATTCAACATACTCATCTGTAAGACCCGTAACAACGTAATGTAAATTTGACCCCCCACAGAGTTGGCACTCTTGGTTCAGTCCTATTCGCAATTTTACAGGTTGTTTTTTTTTTTCAGTGGGGCAGGGCTGGGCACCAAGAACATCCTAGTAGATGTGGTTGGAGAGAATGAGGTCGTGTATGATGGGGAAATAAAGACAGTGAAGAAAACTGGCGCACAAACGCCCAAATACACGTGCATTGAATGTGGCACTAAAATGTGTCACTAAATAAGTTTTTTCAAGTAATATTTATTCAGACTCTACTTAAAAGTCATATTCCTACTAAATAATACAAAAGTTATACAAATAGTTATATCAAAATATCCTTAAAGTACTTAAAAGTGCCCATTATGTAAAATGTCTTGAGTGACAGGTATCATAATGGATCGTAATTATTGTTTAATTGTATGTATATCACTCTAATGGTGCAGCTAAAGATTGGTTGATTTTAATTATTTATATTATGCTGGGATGTCTGATCTATAGTAATGCAGCATAATTTACTTGTACTTAAGTAATGTAAACGTCCATGCTTTCAGCCAGTGGTTTCAGAAATTGTCAGATTAACAATAGTCCAGCCCAATAATGTTCATAATGTAGCATCAGAGAGTCAATCATGTGTTTGTCGAGGGCTCGGTGCCCCCACACCGGACATGTGCCTCCTTGTGAACATGCACAAATTGTTACATGGCCTTCAAAGTGTAAATACAAACATTACTAGCCTAGCTGTGACTTAACAACTATTCAAAGACTTAGAGATCTATTCTTACCCTTTTACGCACTTGTACAAACATCTGTAAAAACTATAAATAACCTGCGTGAGGCTCTTTACTGAATGACAGTTTTATTTTATGTCACTTAACTTAACACATAACTGGGTTTTAAGAAGATCACATATGTGGCATCTTGCTTCCCCTGTGGACACATCTGGGTATAGAAAGCAGTACATAAATTTATTTGCAGACTCAGTTTAATAACAAACTACCACCCCCCAGCTGTTGAGACACTTGCACAGCTGTCTTTTTATTTTGCTGTAGAACTATAACCCATAAACTGTTTTCCTCATAGGTTTTTATATGTGTACATTGGGTTGTTTTATCTTTTATTTCCTCCACTCTCTTTTGGTTTTCTGGTGGTTTTCTCAGCTGGCTTAAGCATGTCTAAGTAAAGCACACTATGGGGAACTGGTTAATCTTCATTTAAAAGGTTCAGTTTCTAGATCATACCTCAGTATTTTGCATACTAGTTTTTGTCATAGTTTCATAGGATAGTTTAATTTGAACTCTATCATGATTTTTACATTTGATATTCCTCTGAAAAGGTGATGCTCCTCTATAATTTAATGGAAAAAAGTAGCAATGGGCACATTTTAGTGTGCCATGTGTTAGTCCTTGGCAATGTCTACATCCTAAAAGTGTGTACACTGCTCCTATGATGCAATGGAGATTAATTATAAATCCGAATGTGCTTTAAGTACGAGTCCTGAAATTGTTATAATAACCCAGTAACACCACATAAAACTGAAAAGTGTGTCAGTACAAATGAAAATCAACTCTAAGTGTTACAGTCTCCACTGAACTGAAACCAGTGGTGTTGAAAGAGTGCATAAGAAATGACGCTCATGCTCATGTTTCGTTGTAAATGGTTTTGACTGGAAATTTCAGAAGACTTAGATGTGTGGTGAGTGGGTGTAAAGAGCCTCTTTGCTACGGCAATCAGAAGCCTAAGAGCAAAGGGTGCAACACTTCCAAGTGCAGCTGATTAGTCAGTAAAGAACTAACTGAAAAAAGAAAATGATGACTGTTTACCCAATTATTTCACTGATAGTTTAAAGATATTGTGTAAACAAAGTCTAAAATTTAGCCTAAAATAAATATTTGCTTCGCATTGCACTGTGGTGGATTCCACTGGCGCAATCAGCTGTAAACAGATCGAACTGTGTTAGAAATCATTAGAAAGTACTTAAAATTAGAAAATGTATGAAAGTATTAGAAAAATAATGAAATTGTGGATATCAACACATTAAACAACACCAAAAGGTTTTCTGTAGCACATGTCCTGTCTCAGGCCAAAGCTTTATCACGCCTGTCACCCACTAACACGCCTGCCTTAAAAATTTCTCAACTTAGTGTTTGTCAGTCCAGTGAGATTGGGTGTATTTGTTGTAATCTTGTCATCAGTCCAACGCCTGGGAGTGCATCCTGTCATGTGATTTCCTGAAGCTGTTACGTTCGCCCTCGTTGTGAACAGATCTGACATATGTCACCTGCAACAAAACAGTCAACCAGACACAGAGAGCTTGAGGAACAAACAAACTCCTGACCAGCCATTCAGAGGTCTTCATTTCAGCGTGACGATGTGTGTGATATTTTTAATGCGGATTGAGGAAGTAACTTCTCTCTTCACACAACCTTAAGTTGCATCTTGCACGGAGAAGCTTGTTGAAATGCTATCTAGATGAAGTAAGAAGTTTGGATACTTTTTACTTTTATATTTCATTTTTGATTAAAGAGGAAGTTCAAGGGGAAAATGGAGGCGCACGAAAGTGCCGACTTTATGAGGCTCATGTCAGGTAATGAAAAAAACAAATGTGCCTGTGTGAGTATGTGACAAAATGCTGTGCTTGTTTAACATGGTGTCAGTCCTCACAGTATGTACGAGTGTGTGAGACTTAATGGCAAACTGACCATTTGTACTATGCTCGGTACACGGTCCCTTGGCAGTTTTCTGCCAGTTGATTGGTTTCCCTGATGGTTTTAATCTAACACAGGTCACATCCAACACTACAAATCTTGTAAAACATAAGTTTTGCGCGTCCAAAAATAACAATTCTTCAACTTCTTGATTCTTACCTCAAACACCGACGCGACAGAGAAAAAAGTAAACTGTTCCAAGTTTGCAAAACAATAGGAGGTACAAACGAAATAAATAACTGATATGGTTGTTGATGTATTATTATTATCTCACTGAAAACTGAATACAGCGTATTTGAAAAGATAAGACATTTAAAGACTTAACCCCTCAGATATCCAAGTTGCACAGATTGTGCAGAAACAATGTTTTCTTGATTCCTTTTAGTTACTTTATGTTTTTTTTATGGGATTTTTTGTGTTAACAGGAACTTTGTGCACATATCGTGTTTTGTTATATTGCGTTGTTTGTATTATGTGCATTAGGATCTTCTATTGTGAGCTAAATATACCTTTGGTTACAAAGCAAGCAACTTAACTCTGAACAAGTTACTTTAGTCATTTTTAAAGCTCTTTCTTACCTTACAGACAGAGCAAGCAACAGTACAGCAGCTTGTTTACAAACTTGTACTGTAATCTACTTTTCTGTGTTCACCCCAGAGGAAAGCACAGTGTCCACCCTGTCTTCAGACTCATGTGAGTACTATCAGACTGAGATATTTGACCTGCTGCCCAGCATTCAAGCTTCCCGACCTGAGCAGAACAGACATGACTTTTCGGAAGAGACCAACCAGGGTGGCCGAGAGGCCGGGGAAAAGAGTGGCCAGCTGTCCAGAGGACCCAGAGACAAAACATCTATGCAGCCACTCAGAAACTTGCCCATGTGTATTCAGGGAAAGAGGGATGCCAAGTGAGTAAATCTTTTTACAGACTTCCCAAATCTGCTTCTTTTTTATCTACGTCTTACTTTGACATACAAGCGTAAACATGCAGTTAACTTATTACTTAAATAGAATACTACTGATTTACTTAAAGAAACATATTACAGTTGCGTCTGTACGTCTTTGAGCATTTGTTTCCACATTTTTTTTTACTTAAGACCCAGTAGAATTATGCTTATGATCCCACACACCTGTAGGGAATATTTCATTGCCACCTACCAGGATTGTTTCCAGATTTTTATCAAAGCACAGAGGTGATCTTGGAAAAAACAGGGATGTGATATCCTAACCGTCGGCTTGATTTTCAGGCTTATGCTCAGCCCGCCTGTGCTCATGCTCAGTTTTCAGGGTATTACACATGGCCCTGAAAACCATTAGCACTAAATAGCTGTTTAGCAAATAAGCAAAACAAGTTCTTAGAACTTTTACCCAAGTAATCACTCAATTAAGTATTAGCACCAAGGAATAGCTTAAAGTAAAAGCCCATTACTGAATCATAATTATCATATGCTGGTGCTTGAATAACAGTAGCAGTCCAGCAAACCCTCCTCTTTAATTTCTGTTTCAGCCTTCTTAGCTGACTAAAACTTCTTAACACATTACAGCTGCGGTCGAGAAATGCTATTGTTAAACAAGTTTGAACCATACGACAGTTACAAGTGTTAACAGAAGTATTAAGACAACACAAAAAGTGTTTGAAGTGAGCACTTTTTTTTTGTACAGACCTCAATCATTTGCTGACACACTTAACTGGTACTAAGTCAGAGGCTATGCATTAACAAATGTTGGATTTCTTTAAAACATAAAATGTCTGATAGCTTATATACATGTTTTATTTCTGATTAAATATATCATGATTAACCTCTAAAACTGCCATGTTAAATTAAACAGGAGTTCGTTAAATGCGATGTTTATGCTATTTTCTAGGGAAAGGAGGAAGCTTGAAAACAATGATATTAATTTTTGGGAGTCCTGGAGGAAAACCCAGAGCACCAACAGGAAGAGGGTGAGGGAACAGATAAAAGAAGCTCTGTCTGGCCTGGTGCCATGGCGGCAGACCCTCCGGACCATCGAAGGTGAGATAGATTTGTGGTGAATTAACTTAGTATGTGCTGTGACTGAACCACTCAACTATAACTCACCTAATTATTTGTTGCAGGCAAGTTTGGAGTTGGGGTGAAGTCCTATTTTGTTTTCCTCAGATATCTGATTTACTTGAACCTGCTACACTGCGTTCTTATCGGGGGTTTCATTGTGGGTCCATCAATATTTTATCGCACTGACGAGTATGGTAAGTCAGCCGTGACAACAGATGGCAGCAAATTAACCACAACTAGGAGCTGACATCTAAAAATAATTATTCTCTCTGGTTTTACAGAACCGTTGACATTTAAAGAAAATGACTCTGCTTTAGATTTCTTCTTGGGAACAGTAAGCTTTTGTGTTCTAATCTACGTGTAGTATTTATTAGCAATAGCCCCACATGTTTCCCATAATCTTTTCCTTGTCTTTTCTGCAGGGCTACGTGAATCGTTCCCTTGTCTTCTATGGCTTTTATACAAGAGGATCCCTGGAATTAAAGTGCTTGAACACACCGTTGCTGTACCTCGCTGGAATCTTCTCAGTCATATTTTTAAGTCTCATTCTGGTGGTCCGCAGGTAAGTGATCCACAACAATGCAACATAAGAGGTCAAAATTATGTTTTATTTACGTACATTCACCTGTGATAGAACAACAGTCGGCTACAAGCACACCTGGATGCTCGGGAAGCGTTACAGCATGAATGTGAGCTATAAGATCTTCTGTGGCTGGGACTTCACCATCCAGGATCCCACTGCTGCCGCTCTCAAACACGGCTTCATCAGAAATGACCTCAAGGTGAGTGGCGTGGCACTGACACCCTCATAGTAAATTAGCCAAACTGCTGGTAAAGTTTCTGAAAAGTTTGTGAAGTCTTTAAGTCTAACTATGTTTTCATACATACGCCTCAGAGAAGAATAAAACGAAATAAATATAATAGTAAGACCACCAGTGACCGCCCCCTCAGCCTCCTACTGGATGCACGTATTGTATCAATTTGAAAATCCTACGTGACTTCCTTCTTGACTTACCACATTCACAAGATTTTCACAAAACGTGACCTCTGACCTTGACCCTGAGGATCAATTCAATTCAATTCAATTTTATTTATATAGCGCCAAATCACAACAAAAGTC